TCCACCAAAAAAAAAAAGATCAAATTTGACTAAATTATGCGGGGTGCATAAAACTACGGTGGCAGATATGTGCCTATCCATTATTTTGATATTGAACCCCTGACGTCCTGATGATTGGACAAGCGTACCGGCATCTATGGTGCAGCGATTATGCTCTTCGCTGTCACACGCAGGAGACTCGAGTTCAATTACCGAGATAATTAATTTGGAATCTTTCGCGAACATTTCGGTCTTTCTGCTAAGATTTTGTATCCATCTCATCTTGGGTTGATCTTAACAGACATGATTGAAGCCACCCTTAGAGATGATCTAAATTGTGTCGATGCGGGCGTTAAATACCATGATGTCAAGCTGCTACCCTTTTAGCCTAAGTCATTTTTTTACACTTCGGAGACAATTGAAAAAAAAGCCATCTCACTGAGTGGAAGTTGTACGTTGATAGCCCAAAATTTCAACAGCTAATTAATTTATCGTCACTCATTTGTACTAATAATTATTTTCCAATGAAAACTTTAATTATGAGATGTGACTGACGAAGGTCATTTCGTGACTGTTGTTTCTGATTTACGCCATTTTGCAAAATGACTTGACCCATAAATAGTAGGCTGAAATGGACAGATAGATCCAAGACTGAGGGTAAGAAACTTGCCCAGGTCTAGGTTTTGGCCTACCTCTGACTTAGGCTAAAATGAATGAGAGACGAATTGGCCTACTTCAGACTTAAGACAAATCACACGGGAAAATCAATTTGGCCCATGTCACTTTTCACTTAGGCCAAAATGCATTAAGAAAGTTTTCTTTGAAATGGTTTGGAGAATTTTAAATGTTACGTCGTTATTATTATAAGCAGATGTCAAGGAGTCCAGCGGTTCACCAGTTGCAGTTTGGCGTATGTCTGACTTACGACAAAAATGAAGCCGCTTGACGATGATGTAGAAATAGAGGTAAGCTTCTTCACAATGGCAACACTTTTGTTTTAGTTTTAGTAAGAGTTTTACGGCACTTGTAACACAATAAGGTCATATAAGCGCCGAAGAAGAGATACTGTGTTACAAG